TCTGTAACCATTCGAGAATTGTGTACATTATCAACACATTTCATTTTTAATCCATGGCAAATGTTTGAATGGTTTTAAATATTTTATGGTAAGTATGTGTTTTCCAGGAACAATGATACTAGAAAAAGTAGATATATTGATTCTTATTCACATTTACTTTCACAGTACATGTACAAAAATTGGAACAATATAGGAAAAATTAGTATGATTAAATAAATATGATTATGACAATTGTCAAGAGTTTTATATTTTTTAATCGTGCAGAGTTTATTTATAAAAACTTAAAAACAATAAATTTAAACAAACTGTAAGCCAAGACTTGTATATAGGGTAAGGCATTTAAAACAGGTCACCTGAATAACTCGTTTGCTTTTGATGATAGAAAAAAATGCATCAGATCAAACTTGCTTGATTCCAAGAGGCACATAATCTGATGTGAATAAATTTTTTTATAGATAGAAGCATAGAGGAGATATGAAGGTCAACTTAGTTTTTTTAAATGGAATGATTTGGTTTTTTATTTACATTTTGATAGAGCGTTTCAAGATGAATACAATGACCTATATAAAGGTCACTCAAGGTTAACTACAATGGAAAATAAATTGCTTAAAGACACCCTTCGAACACTTCGGCGATTTACAGACTAAGGTCTCTGCCTGTCCACATCTCTCACAAGGGAGCTTCGGTAACCCGGTAAAAAAAAAAATTGTCCGATACTCCTCTTGAGGCCCCTTACAAACCTGCAAAGTTTAAAAAAAAATCGGATTTTTTGGTTACCGAAGTTCCCCTGTCAGCCACCGTGGATTATCTACTGACTAGTAGTGCATGTTGTGAAAGCGAAGTATTCGAGGAGTGTCGTTAAACAATTTATTTTCCATTGATTCAACTATTAACGATTTATTTACAATACGGATAACAATACGAGACTCTAATCCAAGATCAAATTATAAAGTGAGTCTCTTTTCTAAATGTGAAGTTGATGTTAATATCTCGATGTTCTAAGCGATTCTAACGACGCACAGTGGTCTAAATAACCGATTTAGTTGGTCAAAATTAGGAACACCTGTATATCGACTTTTTTCGATAGAATATGATAATTTAATATAATAATATATAATAATAATTAA